GAGCACCCTCTGCACAGCCCGAAGGAAGAGAAGGAGAGCGTGCTACCTGGGGCTGCCCGAAGGCCACACTGGCAGCACACACCTCCTGCATCCTGCTTCCAGGGAAACAAGAAACTCCTGCCACTGGGATAACGACCTCTCTGAAAGGTCTGATGACTCTTCCCCTAAAAGAAACATCCTGCACTGTAGTTCCCCCTCTCACTACTACAAACTCTGCCATATGTAGCTCTTGTCAAAATATTTCATGAAATGAAGATAATTACTTCTAACTCCAGTAAAAACTAATCAAGACACTTAACTAGATGTGAACTCAGCTTTGGGGCTTCCAGAAATTTCTTAGTGAACAGCAACCACTATGTGCTCCTGTGTAATGTGGAGACAAATAATCTCAATGGCAGCACATCACTGGATTCCTCTTTTGAACTACAGCTATTACTTACTATACGTGACTACAGTATACCTTTGGAATGGCAACTTATTTCTGTATGTAAAACCAGATGAAAGGAAGTTCTAATACAACTCCTTGCAAGAAAAAAAAAGAAAACCTCATAATTTGAACCCATTGTCAGCAATGGAGAAAATTCCATCCAATTTTGGCTTACAGAAGTAAAAATACAGAAAAATTGGTATGAGTATTTTCCATCAATCCTTTATAAAACAATACATTGTAACCAATTTCTTACTTATCACAGTTCTAATCTTTCGTCAATGAAGTCCTATTTCATAGTTACAACAAAGAATGCTTTATCATACTAGAACTTCCTGTATTAAAAAAGCACACAAATAAGAAAACTCCCTGATAATCATTAAGGTCCTGTATTGCCTATTTGTCACTGGCTCAATTCTCTTCTAAGAACATACCTTCTAGCTAGAGGCTTTCACTGTTTTTCATTTTTAGCAACTCTTAATCCTAAGGATTTGTGCCCAAGCCAATGAAATTTTATCTAGGCTGAAAAGTCTCAGACAATAGTTCTCAGAAATACAGCAACACCCATAAGAGGTTACTTCTTAGAAGTCTGATTTTATGTCAGTATTAACTTTTTCATTGCTCATGACATAAAAAAAAGTAAGAGCTATTACATTTACCACTAAGATTCCTATGTGTCTTCTAGGTATCTAAAATCCTCCAGTATTTTTTCTAACAGCGGCCCAAGTTCCAAATTTGCTCTTGTTCAGACATATCTTGTTATAACTTGCAAACACAATATTTTAAAATGTGTGCAAAGCAAAGTCATTTGTCCAGTGCAATTTGATTTTAATTCAGTTCATTTTGTATTTCAATTTGTATCTGTAATACAAGCTTTAAATTTTTTCTTCACGCGTTATAAAGAACTCATCAGACCACGCAACATGAAATATACAATCACACATTAAAAATCACAGCCAGCAATAATGAGACTGAAGTTTTTCTACTGTAATTGTGGCTTTGGTTTCTTTAAAATAGAATTTTGACAGTGCTGCATGTATGGGTGAAATACTTCATAATAAGCATTAAATCAAGATAACGTACTCAAGCCATAAAGACACGCATTGCCCATTACTGCACACAATAATGCTGTCTTTGTTCATTGTGGTTTTTAAATACATCAATGCCAACAAGTGCTTAAATTATGCTGTGAATACGCTCTCAATGAATAAACTCTAAGGAGTCGTGTATCAGCAAATACCAGAACTTCCAGCACAAAAACTCACAAATATAATAGGGGACTTGAGCTAGAGGAACTTAACATTTACAGAAAATTGGGATTTGTTTCTCAAAGCATGTTACAAATTATTTCAAGCAGATGTAGAATCAAAACCTTCATTAATGAATTTAAAGCTCGGAAAACAGCTGCATTCAGTGCAGAGGATCATAGTGATCTAAGAATTTTTGTTGTTGCTGTTGTTTGGCTTCAAACAAGTTAGCAGAAGTCACTGGGTACTCCTTGAAAAACTGTGGAATACTTCAATGGTGCTGGGAGCTTCACTTTAGAAGCTGGAAACCAACTCTGTAAACAGAAACTTCCACTCAATACGTCAAGGAAATAACACTATGTATTGCCTTAAGATTCAGGAGGGTTAGGACCAAAGGTCATAAACTCTTCCAAAATAGAAATGAGGTGTTTATCATGCTGAAAGACAGTAAGTAGAAGAACATCAGAACTGTGCATTTCACTGAAAGCACGCACTTAAAATTTGGAGCTTTGCTTACAGAGACAATATGTTTTTTAAAGAAAAATCTGTTCAAAGGTAACAGCTAAAAGAAGAAACTGCCAAAAGGACTGCTCAGGTGATTACATAATGTGTTGCAAATTTTTTCCTATGCCTCACATGTAAAAATTAATTTTCTGCAGAGTATTTTCCCAGAACTTATCTTTTAACGTCATAATCACATAAGCAGAAAAGTATGAGTAATTTAAATGTCAATTTGTCCCTTTTTTCCATTAAAAAAGGAAAGAGAAAGCAAGATGTACCTGTCCTATTACTCAGACTACATGGTAATTTGTTTTTATTTGAACACTTCTTTAATGTTAATGCTGTACCTTATAAAGCATCATGCAGGAACATAAACAGCTTTACGATCATACAGACAAGACGGACAGAGAAGGTTAATTCCATAATCTATGTTATTTAATGACACACCTAAATTAACAACTAGAAGAACAAGCTGTACTGTTCATACAGATGTGCTCTAGCATAGTACTGCATTTTCAACAGGGACTGATACTTGCAGAGAAAGAATATAACCCCTTTTGCATAGGCATCAAAAATAACAGAGGAGTATTTCTTTAAATGTCAGTTAAAGCTTTAATTCCTATTTTTTTCTTTTATTTTTCTCTTTAGTGTTGCCATTTGGGGCACACAGAAATATGATCACTTCCATTAAATAATTCAACTTGCGTTTACTTTGATCAGCTGTGACAATAAATTCGTCTGACTGTTTACAAGCATAAAAGGTATCTCCTTCCCTATTTGATCTAGTTTCACTACATTTCAATTTCAGTGACTGTGTCTAATTTTGCAGCAAGATGCACAAAAAGAAAATTGTGATACCCTACAGGACATCCCATTTCAAGTCAACCTTTTACTTGTTTCTCTCCATATTGATTCCCTCTGCACATTTTCACAACTGCTTCAATTTCTCCAGAAGCATATCATCCCAATCCTACATCAAGGAGATTACTAAACAGGGATGCCATCTTTGCATCACAAAAAAAAAAAATTACATGTTAATATTTATGATAGGACCTGAACCTTTGCCATTCTAGAATGATGCGAGAAGAAAATTAAGATAAAATTAGCTTTGTTCTTCAGAAAAAAAAAAAGCAAGCTACTGATTTATTTAAGGAAATGGTGTACCAAATGGAATGAAAGGATTTTTTATTTGCCTTTTTCTTTTGGATTGTGAGAAAGAATTTCTGCACAGAACCATAGCACACACAGCTTAGCTCATCTCACCTTCTTACTTTCTCTTAACAAACACATACTTGTTAGCAGTTTTCTGTAGTTGATTCAGAGCCTCAGATTCTTCTCTCTGAGCAGCTCCAGCCAATAAGAATATAATGCCAAGTTACTGATCAAACATTAGAATTGCTCCATTGTTTGAATCTCCAACGAGGAAGCAGCAGCAGATATTTAACAAAAAAAAAAAAATTAAATGCTAAGTTACAGTTTTCTGATATGTTTTAGAGAGTCTAGGTTGCTCTAGAGCATACTGGATCAAACTATCTATCCAGTCTTGTTTGCATGTAGTTACTACCTAACCAGTATCAGATGAAGAGCACAGCAGGTAAAGCAGCCTAATTTTTACAGAAAAAAACATTTATATGAAAAGAAAGTAATGGGGAGAAAAGTAAAGTTATTTTTATTAAACTGTCACTTCTGTAACTCTAATCCTCTGATTCAAATACTATGTTACATTTTCCTTCCTTTACTTTTTGCACAGTGTATGTTGGTAAAAGGCTTCATAATAACAAGCCACATAAAAGCATGCTGTCCAACTTGCCTGCTTACATCTCTAAAAATTTCTTTTACATGTTTTGTAAGGAGCAGTGCCTTTTGTTTAAACTTATTTAAAAAAAAAAGTAAATCCCCAAGTTTGATTGTGAACAAATTTTCTTGTCAGTTACAAGCAGGCACTTGCCCATACACATAAAAGTCAATTTAAAGCTTTAAAAAAAAATAAAAAACCCAGAATCTTTACTATCTACAGCCAATCCAATTTCAAGTTCTGCTCAGCAAAATGATAGCTGAGAAGTGACAGTCACCAGTGATGTTCAGAAGGTACTTTAGCTGTTGCTCTATTACAAATGTGAAATCTCAAACTAAGTTACTTGACTAAAATCAAGACTGCTCAATCATCAGTAGAAACAAAAATAATACAATCATAGAATGGCCTGGGTTGAAATGGACCACAATGATCATCTGATACAATAATTTCAGATCCTTGAAGATGATTTCTTCCAGAGCACAGAGATCACCAGTACTCTTCAGACTTTCTCCTCAGATCTGAAAAACCTGCACTAATTATCTCTACTACAAAGCCCACACAAAATGAGGTAAGGAGATTCACCTGAGATTTACAGAAAAACTATAGAGCTAGAAACACAACAGATACACCCGGAGTAGAGTGAATCAGACCAGGTCTATCCAAAAGCACTTCAAAGCAGGGCTGACCAATTCTTTAGTTTGGAAAAAAAAAAAAAAAGATAATTGTTAAAAGTATGTAAGATTTCAAAACATAGAATAAGTACCACAAAATAATAAGTTATTAAAGGATACTGTTTTTGATGTAATTGCCCACAAACCCTATAGCAAATGCCTACAATTCAAGGTGGTTGATCTTCTAACTACCTCACATTAATTCTATCACCATTACAGACAACTAGCTAAACCTTGGATGCAGAAGCACACATAGTTTACAAAAAAAAAAAAAACATAACAAAACACAACTAACCTTGAAGCTTGTGCTGGGCATTAACTGCTTATAAATAAAAGAAGTAAAAAACACTTGTTCCTACCTCCACTTTGGTTCGGTAAAGAATGAGACGCTTTAGGCTGCCCACTTTGGCTATGTGGTTGAAAGCTTGAGGTGGTATCTTATCACATGATGAGAGATTTAATTCCTGAAGATTAGGACACATTTCAGTAATGACCTCCAAACATGTTTCATTGAGGAAATGGCCACAAGACAACTCAAGACGTACAAGTTCAGAGCCACAAACTTTCAAGAACCTGCAAAAATATTCACATTTCTGGTGAAAAATAAATCTTTGAATAATGTTAAAACCATAAGCATGTAAAACAGGAAGTACTTTCTTCCAGCAATGAAAAACTTACAGACCACAGCACTTATGTCAACTGAATTAATTAACGGAAAACATGATTAGGTTAAAGTAAATTAATCATAACCACTCTGAAGAAATTACTTGTGAACCAAATCTGTACAGACCCTGAAGAGCAAACTAATGAGTTGCTGAGTTAGATATCAATATTCAAAAACTGAAGGTGGTCTGACAGTTAAGGCTGTTTCATCAGCATTAGATACCATATGTAACCTAGATATTATACTTTTTGTACAAAACAATATTTGACACATACATTTTAAGAAACACAAAAGACTATATTATGCTGTACATGATATGAGGACACTGATGTCATTAAAGCAGCTGTAAAAAACAATTCTACCTTGAAAGCAAATTGCAAAAGCATCACTGCAAGGGGTAAGGAAAAACAAAGGTTTTGCTAGCCTTGAATATTCAGTTTAGAAAGTTGGAAGATGCTTCCTTCTTGCAATTTGCTCCAAGTCAACGAAGGCATTACAGAATGACACTAAAGAATATGGAGAACTTGATGTCCCTCTTTCAAGATGCATGTTATTAAATCTTCTTTCCTTATTTTTCATTATACACTTAACTCTACCTGTTATTCATGATCATCAACTTTCCTGATTCACCTTGCATGCAATCCAGCTCCCTTTGCCTTACTTTCCATTACACAGATCCTATGCAACAGGGAGAGTGCAACCTCTACTCCAGGAAGTTTCCAAGAGTCATCTGAAACTTCAATTGACCTGATCCAGAGCTGGGGTCAGCAGCACTTCAAGTGGGAGCTTGGAGTAGGTGTCCTTCAGAGGTCCCTAACGTTCATGAGTTTATGGAAAGTGACAAAGAGAGGCTCTGAGAAAGAGAGACAGAGCACTTGTAGGTTTTGCTAAGTATGCTCTTAAGTGGCATACAAATCTCTTCCATTATTTTTGTGCAACTCCACAGTCTCTCTTCAGAATCCATTTTATCTTGTAAAAAGTAATCAAACATCAAGCACCTATTTGTTGTTTTCATACCAGATACCATGAATTCCCCTGTAAGCTAGACCTGTGAGCTTTCTTACAGAGGAGTGTCAGAAGCAAAATGACTTGACAGTTTAGCAAAATTAATACCAGATATCTAAACATTAGACTGCTATTTCAGACCAGCAGCAGAGTTTAACGCTGTCATGGAGAAACAAGAAGTAGATTCCTTGGAACTTTGAGTAGAGACATACTGATTCACTGCTGATTGCCAATTAGCCAATTCCTCTCTTCAATGAGTGCTTTAACAACACATTCACATGGCTTCTTTCATCAACAAATCACTGGGTTTGATTCAATGGTGATAGTTTCCATAAAACCCTGTCAATTGCCATTTATTATGCCTCTAGCTTCCAATTTGCTAATGGATAAATATTTTATTAACTATTCCATTACAATAATGGATGTTAGGTTAACTGCCATATAATTTAACAGGGTTCAGCCATTATAAATATTGCTACAGATCAACACTTTTCTTCTCCTGTCAGTATTAGAAGTTAACATTACTAGGTCAGAGAAGCATTCATTTGATCCCTTAGACTTGCATAAAAACAAGCACACCAGCTTAGAGTTATCCTGATAACATTTTAACTTCATTATACTTAGAACACAAAGATTGAGCAAAAACAGCAAGAGCAATGAGCACTGCACTTATTTGTGAATTTACTTCCTTTTTGGAATAAGTTATTTAGGAGACATTAAGAAGAAAGTAAGTTGAGGGCAGTAAGGGAGACACAGCAGGGTATAAGAACAAACTGACAGGCATGAAGTGAAGCAGTGAACAGAAACAGAAAGGGAAAATTGAGGGAGTCAGCAAACAGAACATTGCAGAGTACATTAGTCAGTACTGCTGAGTTCTCCCCATCCTCTGTTTACACTGCACAGACTGCTTGGGGCAGAAGGTTTTCCTAATTTATTTCCACGCAGGTCTCCAAAGGCTTATAGCAAGGTAGAACATAGGTTCTCAGGCTTTGAGAACAGAAGTGGCATTTCCTTCGCATTCCTGAGACTCAGCAAATACTTGTAGGCTGCCTGGCAATGACTTACTTCAAAACAGCATCTCCAACAAAAGCACTTGCTATCCAAAGGAACACTTCCTCACATACCTCTCCTTTACTCACTGAAGACTGACTGCATCCCACTTATAGGATCTCTTCCTTTCTGCACAGTCACTCATCTTATTTTTAATAAAAAAGTCTTTTTTCTTCATTACCAGTGCTTCAGACAATTTCTGAAGTGATTTTCTTTCTTATCTGTTATGATAAGATCAGTCAAACAACCTAAAAGAATCTAAACGTGTACATTTAGTTTGCTAGGCACTAGAACAGAGTTTTAAATTCAACTTCGTTCTAAACTACAGTATTTCAGCCTTTTTGTTTATTTTCATAGAATGGCTTATAAGTTGGGAGGGACCTTAGAAATTATCTAGTTGCAATCACCCTACCACCCTTCTTACTTTCCAGAACTGCTTTGATGTTAATTTTCCCCCCAGCTCTATTCCATCTCAGACTTGGAGAGCGAGTTAGTCCTACTGAAATCAAAGTCTGTATGTAATATTTCCTATGATCCAAAATTAAAATAAAATACCAAGGTACAAGAAACAAGCACTGCTCATGCCAGGGTTGACTGCTTAAGACCTCCCAAATAAAATCCCCCAAACACTTTTAGACATGTCCCAAAGAAGGTTTTGAACACATCACATTTGCTCCAGTGGTTGTTCTACAGATTTTGTACTACCAATGACACACAGAAATCTGCATGCAGAAGTCTGTTTCTAAGCTGTCATCATCATTCACCTGTTAAAAACTCAGAGCAATTATTCAACATCTTGGTGTTTACTATACCTCCAATCAACCTGCTTCACTTTTCCTATACAGCTCTTATTCTCCCATGCTGACATTCCCATGGCACGAACAAATTCACTGCACACCTCTAATGCCAAGAGAATGCATTGATTATGTGAAGTTTTCTGTGAAATCTTTGTTTACTCCCTGTCATTTTACATTCCAGACATTTATGATTGCTCAAATACTCATGCCTTTCACTTTTCTGTATACTTATATCGCAATCTAAAAGACAAAGTTGAGTTAATTTATATTATATGCTGAAATGAAAATTTTATGATAGTCATTTTTAGCCCTAAGGAGTAGATGCTATCAGTAAGTTAAAATACCTTCAGCTTTGCCTCAGGATGTTCATATGCCTGAAGCATTCTATCTGCTCATCATAACACAAAATTTGCTTCAGTCATTTCTTAAACTAGTCTTTAAAAAAAGTTTCTACTTCAATACACTTTTGCAGGAAAATACATTTGGATTTTTTTTTTTAGCAGCACACAAATTAATACAATTTACCTCTTCTAAGATTCATAAGAAAATATGGATAAAAATATTTTAAAGATGTTTTCCAAAATAAAACTCAAGCAAGAGTACCACATCAATAGGCATCGACTTGCAGAAATCAGAATCTAAACAGGACAGCTGGAAGAATCAAACTAATTCTACTGGCTTTCAACTCAACAGTGCAAATTTTAACACCAAATACTGAGAAAAGTGCAAAAAATAAAAACAAAAGGAGGCTCTGCAAAAGTTAAACATCTGTTATCTACTGAGGATAAGGTAATTTGGTTTTACCATTTTGTTGACTTTATACTGCAGTAATTTGTAGTGTTTATGAGGTTACTTAGGAATTTCATTTAGAAAATAACTTTTCCAAATATATTACATTATATTTGTAATGGACAAATATAACTTGGCCTTTATAAGTAAGGTAATGGTGTCCTTCAGACTGCTACAGCTTCCAGGCAGAATACTCTACATTTCCACTGCAGTGGCTTGACAGCTGTTCATGGTTGCTTATACAGCAGCTTACCATAAAATGGATCAAAGAAACATAAAATGGCCTGGGTTGAAGAGGACAATGATCATCCAGTTTCAACACCCCTGCTATGTGCAGGGTCACCAACCACTAGACCAGGCTGCCCAGAGCCACATCCAGCCTGGCCTTGAATGCCTCCAGGGATGGGGCCTCAAACCTGAAGTACTGGAACTAGCAATTTAGGCTAGTTTGGACCTCAAGTTACAGGAAGACTTTTTTTTTTTTTAACCAACTAAATCCAAAATGAAAAACAAACAAACAAAACACAGCACATTATTCTGCAGGACACCTCACTGCCATACCTAAAATTTTGTTTGCAGAAAGAAAGAATACCAAGAACAGGAAAAGTCAGAGAAGCATAAAGAGAAGCCAGCAATTGTTTTCAGAAACACTCATGCAGCGAGCAGATTTTACACTAATAAATATTTTACATTAATAGTACAGTGGTAATGTCCTCTGCTTTCATATGTAGAGTCATAAGTATTTAATTCTTGCAATGGACAATTGTAATTTGAAAGCATGAATAAGTTTTTAGGAAGGTATCACCTGGTAACTGAGAAAACAAGCAATGCATCCTCCCTGGACAATTGTTAAACCTCCTTTATTGAAGGTAAACTGAAAAGTAAACTAAAAAGAATTAGAATTCCTAAAAAAGTCAAAGTACTTTCATTCTCTGGAAATTCTGGTTTGGCTAATAAGTCCCGGAAGTCAGGCCAGGTGAGAAACGTCTAGAGATCCAAAAGGAAAAGGAGTTCATGACTAGCATGTACTGGATCATGCAATTAACACATAATGGTGATACAATAATTTTAGAAATGCTGACTATAAATGTAAAGCATGTAGCATGTGAATGCTATTATTTTAGCAGTAAAAAAAACCACAAGAAAGTAAAAACAATAATTAGTTAAAAGACGCTTTCAACTAACTGGAAGCCAAATATGACAGGATTGCAAGTTTACAATTCGCTGAGCTTAGACATTCATTTCTTTCAATGCTACACAAAATTTTTTAACAGCACTGCATATTTAAAAGAAACACAGAAATGAAAAAAGTCACATGAAGATGCACATCTTTAAGTTTTCATAAAGACCGACTTAATAAGCTAAACATCAGAAAGCAAACACTTCACTGTTTCAGAGTTGAATTAAAGCTTATACATTTATTTTCAGCATAATCTATCTAACATGAAATCCAAATTTAGGATATATCTTGTATCCAATTCAACTAGGTGATGCCCATCTCCTTTTTCTCCCAACAAGAACAAAAGAGCACAGCATAGGGCTCTTGGATTATACCTTAAGGTCAGCAAAAGGGAAGTGACATTCTCATCTTGATAAAGTATTTCTTCAAATTATTGTACTCTAGTGCCTCAAGGAAGGCACTCAGACACCAAAGGAAAGAAAACGTTCCAATATCTTTTAACCTTTTAATTCAGGAAACAAATGAAAGCCAAGACATTTTTAAATATATTAAGCATTTCTGTTTCTTATCGGTCAAGTTCACCCACCATTGCTGATTATCTCTTAGTTGAAGCAGCAATTTTTGTTTAAATGAAATGTGTTGATAAATGCTGTTTAACTAATGCAAATGAGTGAAGAAGCAAAAAAATGATATATTAAGGAAGCAGAGAACACTGATGTTATACAAAGAAGAATCCCTGCATATTTGCTGCTTTAATAACCTATAGCATAGACATATTTTCAACTCAGTGTGAAGATGCACACGCAAACCCCCTGCTTTCCAAAAGGACTAATGTTTTAAATCATTTTTATGAAAATATTTGCATTTACATTGCACTCCAGTGATTACTTAGGGCCCATACCTTGTAACCACGCACTGCAATCAGTTTACTACTGCAGCCACTCTAATACAGTCCTACTGATGACTCCTTTGTGCACAGAACAACTGCAAATGCTTTCTTCATAGGATGAATTTCCTATTGCTTAGTTCTCATGGAGTCTTTCAGAATCTCAGAAGAAAGCAAAACACTGCTCCCACTGGAAGACAACACTCAATCACAGGCAGTTTGGATCTCGCAGACTACAGATTGAAAAGACTCCTACTTCCCTATTTAGCACCTCTTACTGTTTTAACGTCCCCTCCCACATCATAACAATCACACTCTTTTTGGTAAATCAAAGACATTTCCTGTCTTTTAGCAAGGTTTCAGTTACTCAGTGACAAAGTACTGTGCAGCAGCTCTGCAAACAGAGCTTGTCAAAATACTGCTAAACATTTAGCACTGACCTGCTAAATCCAGAAACAGAGATGGCCCCCCTGTTTCCAGTCCAAGATAAATTCAGCCACTGGATGAGAGTGCAGCGAGACTGTAGGTGCTCCAGAGATGTGTCATTAATTCTTGCCCAATAAGGTTGTAAACTGAGATGAATGTACTGCAGAGGATCACAGCAATGTTGATACAGCAGCTTACAGGTTTGTGCTAGTCTACACAGGTCTGGTACTGTAAGGTGACTCAAAATCAACTGGATGAGCTATATTAAAAACAGGGGAAAAAAAGGCACAGATGGTCATACAGCACCTGAAATGCTAAGGAAAATCTGCAAAGGAATAAGAAAAGATGTTCTAACTTCAAAGAAAAGTTCTTCTACTTAAAAGTAACTTCTCAAATAAAACATTGATTAACTATTAAGTAGGACTGCACTTCCTTCTCAATTTGACAACATATTAAACAAGAAAGGGAAAAGCAGATCAGCAAATGAAAGTGACAGGAAGCTTTCAAATCAGAAGTTTCTTTACCCATGCTAATTTAAACAGTAATATATATGTAAACACTATGTTTACATATTTCCCTTCACAATGTCTGTACTTTCATTGATCATAACACTGCTGGGATCCTCTTTCTTCTCTGGATTTCATTATAAGGTGGTAGCATAGCTGAAGACTACATGATAATCATATCACGCCCCAGTTTCCCCACAACCTGAACTGATTTCAGAGTTATTCCTCTGCTCTTTTCTCTAAAATAAATAAATGAATCAGTGTTTTGTTTTCTACCTGCTATCCTCTCCCACTCTGCTGGACTATACAACAAGATAAAAATTCAAATGGATTCAGCTCGTCTTTTATGAAGTAATTTCTTATCTGGTTGTATGCCAGAGTCAAAAATGAGAAGTACCACCCCTTTTTACCTTTATCAAATTGAATCATCTCAGCTTCAGAATAATCACCAGCCCTTCTCACTAGCACCACTATACACTTTTTTAAAAAGACTTATTTCACACTCAGATGAAGAAATATCCCATCTCCTATCACGTTCCAGTTTTCTTTCTAAAGAAAGATTAACAAGAAATACATATAAGTAATCACTTCAGGGAATAACAAAAACCTTCAATAAAAAATTTCTCCCTTAGCTTAGAAATCTGAGAGAAAGCGCACTTGAAAAATTCTATCTAAAAATTACATTTTGTTTACTGTGGCTCTTTCACAGCTATCAGCACCTGCACTCTGGTTATGTAATTAAGTGAGTAAATCGCTTCCAAGCAGAGGAGGAAAACTAACTGTCTACAATGAATCAGTGAGACAGTGTAAATTAAAACAACAGCTTAAACTGAAGAAAGCCCTATTACTTCTGACTCAGCCCCAGATTTACTGTTTGGACATCAAACATTCCACATATCTATGAACTCTACAGCAACTTAACATTAAATCCAATGCCAAAGAAGTGCTTGCATATACTGAGGTTTCTCTAAACCTTGATCTCAAGCCTTCTTCCCTGTCCTAAAAACACTTCTGGCTTTTTACCTCAGCTGGAAGCTGAGGATCAGGGCAGTCATTACAACATAACAAAGGACTGCACATACACACTGCAGTTAATAAACAACACTTAACAAAAATCACTTCCTAGACTGACACTTCGGCATTTTGATACAACACACAGCAAGCTGACTAGGAGCTAACATAGATGTGATCCCAAGCTAACATCTGGGGGTTATTTAGCTTTGTTCAGACCCACTGTTCAAGCTTAGAAGTTGCTGTTACGTCCCTTTAGCAGTAGGCATCTAAACACATACACATTTTAAAGATCATCTATTAACTTTAAACAATTTTTCAATATTCTGAAAACAATTTCAAGTTGTCTTGCAACCTTTCAGCTACTTTGTATTCTGTAATCCAACTAAATATCTATTTTGTCTTCTCCCTCAGACTTTTCCAATGTTTATTTATTAAGTTTTCTATAGCAAAGAGCTCAGCCATTATAGCTGCAGTTAGCTAAATTTATGCCTACAATTAATTTAATATAATTGATGTCTGATACAAAGAAACACTAGTTCTGTTCATTTCTTTGTGATTTCTGAGCAGTAAAAGTAATGGTGAACGAAACCACAGATGCCTCACCAATATACTTTACACTCACTGACGACTTTAAAGAGTATTTCATAACACAGTGATACTGCAATCCTTCCCCACCCAGGATGAAATAAATATAATGCAATACTTTATATTGTTGTAGTGTACATATATCCCAGCACAGAATACCATTTGATACCACTGTGTGTGACAAAATGCGCTCCCATTGTGCTACGTTGTGCTTACAGTAATTCCATGAACGCCACAGAATGGAATATCTACTTTGAAAATCTATTTACAACATTGTTTCCTGCAACCGAATTTTAGCTTTAACTTTGGATTTATGAAAAATTATTACAACCGTAATTGTTTCACACTCTTAGAAGTTGTTCAGTAAAAACACAGATAATTGGAAAAATAAAAAGAAAATATAGCTAAAACAAACGCTGCTTGCCTTCTGATGGATCAAAAATGAAAACAGAAGTATTTTCTGTTCCATTTCCAGGCAAAACACACTGCATATGTCCAGATTCAGAGATGTGATGAGATCAATAAAATGCTTGAGAGAACATCCAAAAATTGGAGGTTTCCAGATAGTAACTCTCAACAACCCAGCAAACATCAACGTATGAATTCGCTGTGCTATCTGCACAACAAAAAGATCCTGAGTCATATCTGATTTGCCTGCTGTTTTTGTTTAAATCATTGCAGTCCCTGACTGTAGCATCTTAAACATTTACCTTCATTCTGAATTATAAACTCAAAACATACATCTTCAAAAAACAGAAATCTCACACATTGCATCAAAGTTTACTTATAAGCTCAGACAGGATCTCCATCACACACTTCAATACACAGGGCAAAACCCCAGGCACACAGTTTCTAATAGCGCTTATCAATAAAGTTTCTCCAGCTTTTTTATTTTTCTTTTTTAAATATGAATCACAGCAAGAAATAATCATTTATATCTAACAATACAATTTCTTTGGCTATAGTACAATAATGCAGAAATTGATCAGGTCAGAAGACAATGCTCAATTGCTTGTCAATTCTAAGATTTCTGCACTATGAATTTCCTCTTCAATTCTTCTATTTGAGCCCTTCCAATATGAAAATACATTGCCCTATACAAACTGTAATTCGGGAATACTTGCAACTTTTTGTTCTGTAGCTAGAGCTGCCACAACTTACTCTAAAGAACTAGAGTTGACATCAAGAAATGCTCAGATAAAGGATGTGTGCACAAAAAGGAAAAGAAGGATGAAAGGAAGCAGATGATGACATCCTGTGACTACTGGTATTCCTCAGCATAGTTTAAGAAAACACAGTTCTTTGTTCCATGATCCTATATAGCTTGCACACTACCATTTAAATCTCTCCTTTTCCTTATTCTACTCATGTAAAGTCAGCTGCACCAAAGCATTTTATAACACAAGAGTACAAGCACTGATCCCCTCGGCAATGAAAAGCTGAAGGTTTTAACCCCCACCTTGATGTGAAGAACAGAAAGCATCTTACTGATAGACTGCACAAATTATCAAGGTTCCAGAAAGACTAATGCTGTAAAGATCTTCATGAGCCATCACTCAGAGCCTAGTCTGCTACAGCAACTGGCAGTATATTAGCCATTACCTGAAGGGATCTCGTGCCATATGGTGATTAAAAAGCTTAAAACAGCCTTTAAGACCCCTGTGAGATTCTCAATCCAAAGAGAGGCACAAAATCTTACCAATTATCCGAAAGCCTGCAAATATTTATTCTTGAAGCATTTGTTCTGGAACGATGAAAGAAGTTTACTGGGGGGAGGGGGGAAGGGGGCAGGGAAGCATATGACTGGGAAATGTTCCTGTTTATTATTTCAGTTCTTTTAAGCATCAGTTAAGGGTCTTACATTTAAGGGCTTGCATTTAATGCATCTCTTACATTTAAAGCCCTTTTCCCATGAAATGCAGGTGTCAAATCCACATTTAGAGGAAAAACTCACCTTCCCAACAGACACAAATTGCTCATAAACCTTGTGTTATTCTTTTTTTCTGAAGCTGCTTACAACAACAGCTTCAAGGGATGACAAAGATCCGATTCTTTTATTTTTTTAATATAGATTTTCAAAACAGAAAGATACTTTGGATACTGCAGCATGCAGTATTTCTCCTGCTTTGCAGAGGAGAACAGGAGTTAAGTTCTCAGGACTTGGCGCACCATAGTGAATCTCACAGTGCACACACAACACACCGTGGCAGGCATTTCTCCCCTTTATTGAAGGCTTTCAACTTGTTCAGGCCTCCAGGTCTCAAGCACTCTGCAAATCTGAATATGACAAAGGCCTTATTCCTTCCACTTTACAAGCAGCACAAGCTAATCAAATGAGAAAGGCAAGGATGTGAAGATGCTCCTACAAAATCCTCTCTCAACGTTAAGGTAATTTTGAGAACAAGTACTCTACAGATATTAAGGCCATTAAAGATATTAAGCAATGCACGAGCAGGGAAGGAAAATTCTCTCATCAAGTTCTTTGTTTCTAAGGAACTCCCTGCCCCAGGATGTGAGCATCCTTTTATTTTGTGCAAATTAGACCATAACAACATTTTTAGAGCTCACACTCAGTAAGCCATTCTGAAAGCAACATAATCTAAGAAAGCATGGTGTGCAGAAGTTTCAGAAAGACATGGAAAGCAAAAGAACTGTTGTCTATTTTAAGATTAGCATAGAAGACCATTCAGGCTGAACATTTTGTGTATTATGTAGGGTTGTATGAAGAGCCTGAAACAGCTGAAGTAAGAAACAGGCAAGTATGAAGACTTAGGACAGCTACACATTCATAATGTGCCGCAGGAACCTATAAAAAGATACATCTTTTTCATGTAACATATCAAAGTCAAAACTGGAAGGAGTTGGTGCTTTCTTTACTTTACCAGTACTTTTCTCTGAACGCTTCCAGAAAAATCTGACACTTGTCATTCTCAAAAACAGCATGTAGATACTGTTCCCATTTCAGATGGGATAAAACGTTGCCATACTACAAAGCACAACATTTTTTGTTGTTTCTGTAACCAAGCCTTCCAGATGGACAGAGAAATCAGAGACTGGTATTGCTGCTGTCACAAACTCTGTCCGGGAATACCCTTTTGTAGTTTTCTGGTAAGTATTCTAGCCATATTTTCAGGTTCTTTAAATCAAAGTAGAAGAAGAAAAAAAAGTGCTTGGTATTGATAGACCATATAAATGCATTCATGAAAGCAAACATGTTAAAAAATGGATAAAAAAGGAAGCCAGTAAAAAAAAAGTAAGCAGAAAAGCACAATAAGGTACATAGAGACAGAAGATCATAGGAATAACAAAACCACATATAATTATACACATTAGAATCTTGGTGATTTGTATAATTATGCAGAACAAAAACGAGATTAATTAATAGCTGCCTCTCTGATTGGCAACTATACTACAAATCAACTTATCAAGCCTTTTCAAAAAAGACTTCCCAGATTTAAATCACATTTTCTCTATAATTAATTGTAGACACTAAAACAACAATAACAAAAAAATCAAAGACATTTACATGTTCTGGACTCAACCACACCCCTGCATAAGCACTAAACCACCTTACAGATACACAAGAACCAACAGTGAAATACACTGACCACAATATGGACCCTAGGGAATAAAAAAAAAAAACACTACAGTGCTGCTACTAACTCAGGGTGAAACCAGCATCCTCATTCATTGTTCCATTGCAACACTGGCAACAACTCATGAATGGAAATAAACATTTAAAAGAGGAGATAACGACTCTCTCTCCTGTGGATGTATTTTCTTTTTCTCTTTCTTCAATACAGAAGAAAGTCCCACAGATTAAAAAAAAAAAAAGACAAAAAACTATTTGATTAAATCACATATTTCTGAATGTGCCCTGCAATCAGTGGCAGCATATCTCACCATCCTCCTCTGCTTTCACAAATGAACCTACCTGATTAGTCAAAAGCACTCTGAGCATTTGATGCATTACTGCAGTAAACAAGAACTGTCAGTTGGAACAATTCTGACTGCCAAGTCCAGAGTTCTGAGCACCAAATAGAAGCTCCTCTCCACTGCATGCTAATCCAGCTTGTTTCAGAAGAGGCAAAGGTGATTATTTGGACTCTCCTTCCTTACTCTGACTGGTGTTATCAGCCTCCCATGAACACTCCAGTAGAAATTTACAGGTCAGCATGCAGTATTCAGCAATACCACACAGGAGACTACAGGACAGCAGATATTTACCTGCATAGACTCTGAGCCTACTTGCAACTGCTCCACTGGTAGGGGATCTGAAAAGAGTACTTTACAACTATTTTCTGTGCCAATGATAGACTAAAAAGTAGCAAATGCATCAAAATCAGAATGTGCAGAAGTTCAGCTACAGCTTTTTTTTTTTTTTGTAACTTGCATCATGATTCAAAACACCTGCACAGAAGAACCTTATCTCATAATAATATGAACATTTTATGGCAGCTGCAAGAACCCAGTTTTGGGCATTTTATAAAGAGATCAGGGAAAGGAACTTTTAACCAACTACAAACTACCCCTACTTCCAGGTCACATTCATTCTTTTTCTCTCTTTTGTGTCTTCTCTGTCAAGGACTAAAACTACTTGTGTCATGAACTTAGGATCTTTCAGTTGTACAGAACCAGAGATGTAAGGCAAGAATAACAGGCATAAGAAACCGTGCATGAGCAAAGAGACTCCTGAGAAATAAAAGTGCCATAACTATGCATATACTGGCAAACTGGCTTGTTAATATCCACCCACTGAACCAGACAGACTACTGCAATTCAGGCATATCTATACAATAGAGGAGACTCACAAAAGAATGCAAGGAACTGGGAAAAACAGCAGTCTTGATCACTACTCCATACAGCACCTTTCCACTCAATTATTAAGACAACTGTATTAAGTATAAACATAATTTTCTTACCTCATAAGGCAGCTTATCAAAGTATCCATTGCTTGGCCATTCTCTGAGGGCAACAATGCTGAACTGTTTATTAAGGGTGTCCATTCCACAGCCATACTTCTCTTCATCCTCATCTTCATCAATATCATTCATATCAATCATTGAAGCCTTAAGTGAGAGCACAGGTCTCTCTTTCACACCATGCAGTACTACTGCATCTAATTCAGTGTAATAGTCCAGAAGAGAACTGTTCACTTCCAGCCGAATTAGGTTTGTGGGAAAGTTGATTTGTTTGATACTAGGTGTGAATTGCCGAGCCTGGGGACCATTCACTTTTGTAGGTGCCTCAGACCAGAGGACTTCCCACCTGTAAAAATAAGTGCACGCAAATACAGAGATTAAAGTTACAAATCCAATTTCTGAACATAAAGTGCTTTTGCCAGAATTACTTAAGAAGTGAGAAAAACGGTTAAAAGGCCAATGAAAATAGTTATGTTTGTCACTAGATTTGGTAAATTTCCAAAGGATGAATTTAACAGGGCACACTATAATCATAGCACATTTTCTCTGCCTTGCTAACAAAGCAAACTGTATACTCATTGTCATGCACTTGTGTTAGATTACCATTATATACACACAAATTGTTCCAACACTTCACAGGTAAGGTTATTGTAACCAATTGATAAAAGATGTCTTGACAATAATTGCCTGTTAGTATAAATAAGCAGGGAATGGTCTTGTCAAGCAACTCAAATACATACTCAGCACTCAGTTGACTTCACTTCCCACACAAGGTTTTCACAAAATATACAAAAAGGGGAAAAAAAACAAAATCCACAGCTCTCACTCATTAACATCAAAGTAGTTCAAACTGCAACATCAACAAATTCCTTTATAAAAAACAGCCGTTCTTGATTTATCTATCTAAAGTAAGCAAAATATTACTTTTAAGAGTGTTTATTTGTCAAATTATCTTATTAATATAATAGTTAAATATTACCAGAGAAATATAATCTTCACATCATTCTTTAAAACAGTCTGCTGAAAAAAACCCTGGAATTGTCTAACTGCTAAACTATAATATTTTTATCTTTGATTTGGTGACAGAAAGTTGTTCAGGGCATAGACAGAGCTTTCATACGTACCTGCACACAAACTTCAAATCTCTTCCATTAGATGACCATCTTCTCCTCCCTTCTCCCTCATCCTCAAGTCTAGCTTCTAGTCAAGAAAGAAACCTCCAGCAGTCACTACTTCTACTCCCTTTGATTCTGTGATTTTTTGGTTTACACCTACAGCCATCTGAGTGCAAAATCCCCATCTCTTCCACCTTTCTCATATCAGCCCAATCCCAGCTTCAAAGATGTCTCTCAGCCTGCTTGTCTTGTCCTTCAGGCCTCAGAGATGCTGGGCCTCATAGAAAGCTAGGTACTATGAAGTATCTCAGCACCTCTGCTCCTCATAACAGATGTCACTAACGTGAGCTTTAAAGTATTGTTCAGGACTGACAGGTGCTGTAGAGCACAGAGAAATATTACACATGGTTTATTTTCCAGAACAGATTAAATTCTGTGCATTGTAACAGAAAGCAAAACATATGAAAGGACTTCCACTAAAACATAATACAATATTAACAAGGCAGAGAAACTTGATATTTGCTCCTATTTCAAGGATGTGAGAATCCATATTGGCTGAAACTTCCATTTCATAACAGACAATTTTAGGAAAACACAGATAAATTTTCCTATCCTGCATCATGCCACTGACCACAAATACCTTACAGCACAATAGGAGGCTTGCAGATGCCTTCTGTCAAAAGGAAACAAAAAGCAATGAACTAAAACCAAGCATACAGGATTGGTGAACACACGGTATATCGGCAAGTACAAACACACTACAGCGTACACTCTGCTATAAGATTAACAGGTTTGTTTTTCCGATATTTTATATTTTTATGAGACTGTCTATTAAGAGAATTGTAGAAAGTTTTAGGTTGGAAGGGATCTTTAAGATCATCTAGTTCTAACCCTCCTGCTACAGGCAGGGACACCTCCCTCTAGACCACACTGTTCAAAGCCCCATCCAGCCTGGCCTTGAATACCTCTAGAGAGAGGGAATCCACAACCTCACTGGGCAACCTGTTCCAGTGTCTCATCACCTTCACAGTAAAGAATTTCTTCTTAATATCTAGGCTAAATCTATCTTCTTCCAGTTTAAAACCATTTCTCCTTGTCCTGTCTCTACATCCCTTCTAAAAAGTCCCTCCCCAGCTTTCCTGTAGGTACCCCAGGTACTGGAAGCTACAAAACATTTCATTAATTTAGGAGAGGAACTTCTCAGAAAAAGTAATGGATTTAGTTTCACTGTCACACTTTCTTGCACAGGTCAATTCCCTATGCAAATACTTAACGTTGGCACCACACATGACCTTTCTTGAACATACTCAGATCACCACGTGCTATTTTGCTTAGACACTTTCATATACCCACCCAGATTATCCTGAGGGAAACTCAAGGCTATTTTTTTCCTCACTAAATAACATGTACAATATCATCTGCTTTTAACAGAACGTGCCTTAGTTACTGACTTCTCCTTTGAGGCCCAAGAGAGAAGATTAACTAGCAGTAGCTCTAGAAAAAAATGCATCTGGAAGTCTAGATTCATCAAACTGCAAAGCAAGAATCTCCTTCAGTGCCTCCAGCTAGCAGTCTTTGTAATAAACTAGAGAACAGTAAATCAAAGACACAGCAGGACTTTTACAGTGTTGTAAAACTCCGCATTACAAACCAAGTGCCTATGAAAAAGATCAGTAACTATTTTCCACTTTCCTCATCATACTGCTCTCTCTTTTTCATCAACAGCCCACTCACTAATCCATCTTCAATGGAGTTAGCTGTTGGTTTAACTACAAAACCTCCAGTCTACAAGGTTGCATTTGTTGTTCTCTCCCTTGGTGACACCACACACAAAACCAGGCCACTGTAATTGCTCTGAGCTGGGGTTGGTAGATATGTTCTTCCCTACTGTACTCATTCTCTTAATACACCCACTGAAGCAATTGGAAGCAGTCTCTTCGTCTAGGATCAGTGCTTTGACTCTCACTGTGCTACAATCTGAACAGGAACAAAGGCTGTATACTTGGAAATGGATGAAAGAAGCCTAAGTTTCCAAGAAGCCACAGAAAGAACTGCATTTCTTATGTTCTGGAATATTTTTCATTACAGTTATCTAAAATGCCTCTCTTCTAAAGAGTTTTGAGTCAGTTCTGGTTTGAGGATGGATGCCTGATTAGCTTCACTACTGAGTTTGGAACAAACAGAGGCAACCTTAAAATTCTCCAGAATCTATTTAAACCAAGAAGAAGAAATTGTGTCTGAACAAATACCTGGAAAATGCAAAGAAAAATTCCTGTTTTCCCCTCTCTTTAACTAGGCTCTCTGAGCTCTCAAAATTAAATCAAATGACTTATGGTAGGACACTGTCCTCAAGTATAGCAGACGTACAGAAAAGGCTCATGAAAACACTCCAAAGCACCAATGCTGTTTCAATAAGAAGCTTCTACCAGCAATATGCCAGGAAGCCACAGCCTTTACAGTGGCAGAGGCAGTCACATCTGCATTGTGTTTAAGAGATTAGACAAAATTAGGACCTCAGTGAAGTTTTTCCATTCAGCTTTAATGGAGTTTGCGATAAGGCGATAAGCAAAGTTCACAGCACCTAAACAGTCTAATTACCATAAAGGAATATGTACATTTTCATTTCTACTTCAAGTTCCATTCTGAAATAATAGAGATGGTAGAACAGCAAACAGGACTACAAGAATGCTCAAAGGGTATATAAAACAGCCAAAGTTATTTGAAATAATTGCCTTCTCCAAATGAACTTTGAGTGTTTCTCAAAAGTGACTATCCCAAAAACCCAAAACTCATTCCTCTGCAACAGTCAACTTGAAAGATTAAAATTTGTTTCCCTGAGGATGTCAAGAAGTAAGAATGCAAATGGTTAGAACTTAGCTAGACAGATATGATACAGCCCTGAAGACCCCTCACCACACCGTAACGTGTTGATAGTAACAGCAGTGTTCAGGGTGCCTTCAACTGAAATTTACAGGAAACAAAAGGTAGAATCACTATTGGAATGCCACTGTCTTCAAACAAGACATCCACGACATTTTAAATTCAGTACACTATCTTTCTAGTTTCATCCCACTTACCAGAATGGAAGGTTTTAATTTTCTTATTTTTTAAATCAAACATCTCTGCTAGCAAAAGAAATTAATGACATTCACACCTGGTTTAGATTTCTAGAGAGTCTATTACCTATATAAAATGAGTTCCCTTAACTAAGGACACTGGATCTTCTATACTCTCCAACCTCCTTAGCCTACTGTTCTCGTTGCAGCAGTTTATTGGCTTCAAGACCTTAAGAAAGAGAATGAGACTTGACTGCTAAGCCTGAAAATACTGAGCTAGGCTGTTCCTCTACAAAAACAAGATCAAATTTTGAACTTCAACTTCATAAGAACATCAAGCAAAATTCTAAACATGAAAAAAATTGAACAGTCTAAATGTGTAGAGGGCCGCAAAAATGATAAAGGGCCTGGAGCATCTCCCTTGTGAGGAAAGGCTGAGTGACCTCGGTCTGCTCAGCCTTGAGAAAAGAAGACTGAGAGGGGATCTTATTAATCTTTATGTCTTAAGTGTGGAAGTCAAGGAGACATGGTCAACCTCTTTTCAGCAGTCTGTGGGGACAGGACAAGGGGAAACGGCCATAAAATGGAGCATAGGAACCACACCAATATACAAAAGAACATCTTCACAGTAAGGGTGACAGAACACTAGAACAGACTGCCCAGGGAGGTTGTGAATTTACCTTCTCTGGAGGTATCCAAGACCCTCCTGGACACCTACCTGTGCAGCCTGCTGTAGGGGGCCTGCTTTGCTGGGGGATTGGACTTGATCTCTGAAGGCCCCTCTGAACCCCTACGATTCTGTGATTCTGATTCTGTGAAATGGTATGACTACAAGAAGCAGAATGTTGCCAATGGTAGTTCTGGAACTGCTCCCAGCCAGTAAAACGCTTAGCATCTCACCTTTGAAAAACAACCTTATTAGTACTATATGTCACCTGTGGAAAACAAGCCAGGGGAAGAGGAAGTAAAAATTTTAAAGACACCAAAGCAAACAAACAAAAAAACAAACACATAAAACATCCCAATCGACAAAAGAAGCAATCATTGCATAACAGTGAGGACATACAGTATGAAACATCCCCAAGAACTGCCACATATCCCAGACTAGTTAGAAAACTGCTTTAGAGCTTTTATAAAAGTACATGAATATGTGGTGTCACTATAAGGTACATGAGATAAGAGAAAGTGTCAAATTAAGTTAAAAAAAGACCATGATTGAAGAAGAACAAGGACCATTTTTTCTTTTATATTCTAAATTTAAAAATCAAAGTTATTTTTGTAAGGGGAAAAACTTGAAAACTTCAAGAAAAAATTCTGACTTGAAAGCTCCCATTTAAACACACGCAAGCTCTTCCTATCTGACAGCAACTAACAAAGCACTGGGAGCATCAGAATGTTTCAAAAGGATTGATACCGAAGAAGCCATTAGGGAATTGTCAGGAGTAAACATTCTGGATAGATGAGGAGGAAAACGAAGCACTGTCCTCATTACAGAATCTACCTATATCTTATTCATCAAATACAGTATGAGAAATAAAACAAAAGGTCTTCCTTTCCTGCCTAGGCTCAGCTGACACCACATCAGCTGCAATGGCCCCATTACTGCTGCGTAGAGCTGTGATTCTTCTGCTGGCTGAAGAGGGACTCATCTCCACCAGCAAGTCCAGAACAAACATTTTTGTGCATTATAATACAAATATGTCACATGTAACAAAATAAGCATAATATATCAAAACCAGGGGGAGATCTGTTCATCGCAAAAAAGATGATATGACAGTAGTGTGATTGCTGAAAGTTGTGGATAAAATATAATGAAAAAAATCAAATTAATTGTTGTGTGTAAGCACTAGAATTAGTTAGGCACAATTACATTCCAATCTGAAACATAAATTAATGCTTTCTCCCACTACATGAAGAATTGATCCCACCTGTAAAAAGACTGAAAAAAAACCTGATCTGAGACAGTGCCATGCAAAGTAGTAACTGACAAAAATATACAATTCACTACCTCTAGAAGCTCATCACTGAGAACCCTTTTCTGAACACCTACACACATCATTCATACAATCATAGAATTGCTCAGTTTAAAGAAGACCTTCAAGATTATCAAGTCCAACCGCAACTTAACCATACTTTCCTGACTTTAACAACCCTCCACTAAATCACGTGTCTGAGCACCACATCCAAATGGTTTCTAAACACATCCAGAGATGGTGACTCAACCACCTCCCTGGGCAGCCCATTCCAGTGCTTAACAACCCCTTCTGTAAAGAAGTTTTTCCTGATATCCAACCTTGTAACTTGAGGCCATTTCCCTTCACCTTGTCCCCTGCCACCATTGAGAGGAGACCAACCCCGCTCTCACTGTAATCCCCTATCAGGTATTTGAAGAGAGCAATAAGGTCTCCCCTCAGCCTCCTCTTCCCCAGAAGATTCACTGACACAAGTATGGAGTGAACAACAGGGCAACCTGTGGGCCAGCTATGGGCTACAGATATTTTTCTACAAAAATACATGAAATCTTCTTATGCAAGGACTGTGGTACACCAAGTCCTTACAGAACCTCTTGCTGTTTATAAGCTTTTGCACACAGCAATTTCTTGGATGTGGCGACATTTTAAATATTGAGTTCAAGGAGGAAAAAAAAAAAAGATCATTCAGCTGGCCTAGTACAATCCACTAAATACAACATTTAAACATCTCAACAGACCTTTTCCCTCTTACAACTGATTAGATTCCACAATTAATGTGGTCTCCTTTACCTCACAGCTGACCACACCCCAAGAGCTATAAAACAAATCCTAAAGCTTTTTAATGAGTATTTCTTTCTTACAATTTCTTTTAGCTATTCACACCTTTTTTTTTTCCAGTACACTATACTAATAGCTTCTTATAACATTTCTTGAACACTTCTGGATCTTTACATTACATTGAAAAAAAAAGATGAATTTCAGAAGAACGAACTTGTTAGGGACTTTTATAAGACAGCATAAGTTATTTCTCAGAAGTACATCCTTGCATTGCACTGAAGCAGCCTATCTTACTATGGCTCTAATGCAATATTGTCAATAGTTACAGAAATAATCTCTATATAAAATCTATCCTATATCATTAAAGAAATTAGTAAAATTAAAGTTCACAAAAAATTGGCCAGAAGTCATTTCATATTAGGTTCTAAATTTGAAAAGCTGTGTTTACATCACATGGTACTATAAATAAGTCCTATATTAGTGCCAAACACTCCTACTTCTTAAGTTAGACCTACCATTAATAGCTTGACCTATCACTGTTCCTTGAATTCAGAAGTTTAATTTAGACTCACACAGTATCTACTCATGAGAGAGCTGTATAATTCACTAACAGTAATGACAGAACCACACAAAACAGATTACCTGGGAATTCTGAAAGCATAACATGACATCTATTTTCCAGGACATATGAATAAACATCAGCAGACTACTATCAGGAAGCATGGAATACTAAAACCTTCAGGTATGCTTTCTAGTTGTATCTTTAAAAAGTAGGTTAGAGAAAAAAACATCCAACACCTAAGCATCAGTGCTGCTTACACTGCCAAAGCATGCACTTTAGGTGAATATATCATTTGCTGCTATTCTGTTTTCCACAGTACACGTTTTGTTAAGTCCTTCATCCAATAGTTCTCCCTTCCTTTGGAAGTCTGGTATAATTTCATCCCTTTTTGATAATATTTCGCATGTATCTACAGCTTTTCTCCACTGTACTTTAACATGTTCTCTCTTCATTCTATTCCCTGACCTCCTCACTATGAGCTTCACACCTCATTAACTGCACTTTTTCTTTATCATCGTAATTACCATTCCCTGGTCTTACTCTTCCTCCTGCCCAGCTCCCAAACTGGAACTTCACGATCTTTGAGTTCTTTTCCAACCTGACTGATTCTATCATTCATCCCAAGTTCCAGCTATGAGGAAAAACAAATGGATTGCTTTTGGTCTATGAAACAAACCTAAAATCAAGTGCGACTCACACCTGCTGATCAGATCAAAAATAAACATCAGACAGATGACATCACCTTCTGTCTGACCATTCCATACTTCTGGTTTTAGACTCATTTCCACATGAAATGGTTACAGTGCCTGATTCTACTGTACATACAACCTACAGCATGCAGAGATAAGAGTTAATGGTTACTTGCCAGCAGGGTGATACTGCAGCCACAAATTCCGAGTCCCTTTTGGGCAATTTTCCTTTATTATTGGAGAGTTACTGAGAAGTGCCAATTCACAAGGGACTTTTGAACATACGTAGTAATAATAGCTCAAAATTCCAACACAAACTGTCCTCATCCAAACTAAAGCTGATAGTAGGATCTGTGTTAACTGATTCAAGGAAATAAATCCACATCTCTGAAGTCGCTACAAAGACAGGTCACCATAGCTTTAAACACACACACAAATAAAATGTCAGTGGGTCAGACATTTAACATCTTATAGGATAAAGGAGTGTTCTAAAGCACAAAAAGAAAAATTACCTTACTTCAGCTGGTGGATTTTGTGAATAAGGATTGGCAGAACACGCCAAAATCCTAACTACAGCTCCAGGATGATACGTTTCCAGAATGTGCACTGCAGTGGGATACACCGGCTCCTCAAAAGCAAGTTCCACATAGTCCTGGCTACAGAAGGTGGTTGGAGTCCTCTTGAACGGCAGCCGAGCACTAGGGCAGTGATCCCACCAGGTCCCATAAGTTCGAAACACGGCAGTCTGAGTAAAGTCACCAGAGCTAGGGTACACGTTTGGAATACCTGCCAGATTCCACATGGTATAAGACATGCTGTTTTCACTACCATAATGAGAGCTGAAATCCAACACTTCTTTGGCATACTGAACTATCTCAACATTGATAGGTAAGGCTCGGGTGTTTGATTCAATAGCCCTCCGGCTGTTCATCTCCCCTCTTGTAGCTGTCCTAGCTCGGCGCCGAAGGCACATATAGTAAAACATGCTCAGAACTGTTAACATGGGAAACACTGGTGGCATCTAGATATGACTCATGAAGATGCAAAAGGTCAGGAGTCCTTTATAAGGTGCAATAACAGCTTGTGGTGTTTTGAAATAGAGCTGACAAAACAGAATGAAGAAACACAGTAAGCAGATAAAATATGTCCTAGAAAACATACTTCAGTCTTTCAAATATCCTCTTAAACAACATATTGTTATTAAAATATTAACAAGCTGTTACATTTTATGACAATTATTTATTTGCAGGTTACTAAGTATGGCTTACGACTTACTGCATTTAAAAAAGATTATGAAGAAACATTAGCTAAAACTAATCCTCAAGTAACAAAAACATTAATACTGAAATTAAGTATTATTTTCAAGGATCTACCAAGAGCAATAAAAGAAAAAATCTTTCACTGACTCATGAAGCCAAGTACGAAATTAAATCTTCTACAATAAACAACTGCAGAAGTTGTTTACAAGTAGTTTTATTTGTAAATTTGGAGTGTACTTTTAAAATAATTTAAAGAAAAACCAACCTTTGAAATAAGTAGCTGGATACCTAGACTAGCTGCAGCAACATACAGTGCAACAAAACCTAAGTTACTTCACTGCTTGCAATTCCCACCAAAACTGTTCCCAGAACCCAAATCACTTCATTTAAAGAGAGCTCAAATATATCTAGACTACAATTAAGTCTGGAGAATAAACACACTCCTCAAAGACAGCTCGTATAGGAAGCTGGATAGCTACGCCAGCAAACCTATTACTCTAGTTTGTGATTTTTATTCAGAGTAAAACAAAATTGCTAGGGGCAGTTAATCTAAACTAAAAACTTAAGCCAATCCTTCCCAGATCAGAGAACTAGACCAAACAGTTTCACAAAAATACTGCCATTACCCTTTGAAGTTGTCCATGACAGCATTAACCAACCACTCAAGGGTCGCCAGCCTCTTGAAGGATGTTCACAATTCATTAACAGTATCATCTTCTTTTAAGCCACGCAACAAAGTAAGTCTTCAGAAGAGTCAAGGCATCAGAAGCAGAAGTCCCCATTGAAAGCATTTCAATTCTGATAAGGGAAATATTTTAATTTATGTAACAATTCAACTGTACTTAAGATGCAGTATATTTGTGTAGACAGCCATCCTGAAAAAAAAAAAAAAATCAGCATAATTAAGGATACTGGTGTGTTTTACACAGCCTAAACTGAGCCACAAGTAAGACAAACAGGCAGGTTTAACTACTAGAAAAAGCCAAAATCAAGATGGGTCTCTGTAGTAAAACTTTACAAGAGTGAAGAAATATTTATAGCTGAATGTTTTCTATTCAGGACACAGAAGGGCTGTATCATACTCCCTACTAATAAAGATCATCTTACACATGCTTGTCCCATATTTAGCAGCCACTCCATACCTGCATGACGTAAACTGTTAGATTTACCACCACACAACAGAACCTGGACTGTATTCGCTGATTTCTGTTAGTGATATGCCACACTCTAGGGCAATAATATAGCACTGCATAATCACCCCCTGCACTACCGCAGACTGCTTTTCTGCTGGCTTTCAGATTAGCTTATTTGTCTGCTTTACTAGGAAAAACAAGGTGCAGTGCCCGCAACCTGCTAGGGGCTGGCACAGAGATGACTAAGCCTATCTCAGAATAAATGTCTTCAACAGCCTGTGCTGGGGTTGCCAGTTAACGTATCTCAGGGTATGTCGTAACCGCTGAACCAACAGTGACGACTCTTCAACTGCAGAAAATGTATCAAACAGTAATTAACATGATGCCTCTTCATTGCCTGGGAGACAAAAAGCACTTTTACCATTTGGAATGGGTACATGTGGGGCCATATTCTGCCATACGGAACGGGCAGATAAGGGGCCAGACTTGAGAGTTCTTTTCAAAGCAGAAATTTAAACTACAGTACATGAATAAGCAAAATAGATACGAAAGAGTAGGTTTTGTATGCAGTTCAGCGTGCATGTTACTTGGGTAACTTCTCATACTCACAAAAAGCACATATGAACAGCTCTCTTCCGTTAGAACACTGTCAACAAGGCACATGCAGGAATGGGTAAGGCTGGCTGCACTGTTTGGTCCTCTTACTCATGACAGTGAGAAAGTTTACTAACGAAGTGTTCAGTTCTCACTTCTTTGCCTCTTCTATTATTAGCTTGTTGTTTAGCTCCTGTCCTTCATTCAGCTGCACATGTTGACATAGCTGTCAACAACATGAATTGCTCCTGACATTCAGAGCAGAAGGAAATGCATAAGATGGCATTCTGGATCCACTTTAAGCTCTGCTGGAATGCCAAAGCCAAATAATGTCACATTTTCCCCAAACATCCCATCGAATCATCTTTTAGAATAGACACTGGGGAATGAAAAGCGCTAACCCTCCTGATCTCTTCTAAAATAAAAATAATAATAATATTATAATTTCAGCATGGGGCTGCCATAAGACACAAGTAAGTTTAAAAATACATTCCTCTTCTGCAGTTCTCCCCCTCTTCAATAAAGTCTCCTTACAGTTATGCCAACAGACATTAAACGTCAACAAACTCACTGGTGCCAAGCCCTAGCATCATGTGTCAATCAGCACAGACACAAGCTTCTAACAAAGTTTCACTGACGAGCACAGTTTGAAGCCTGCTCCACATAACTTACAACTTTACAGAGCTCAATTCTGAGTCAACCAGTTGGGGTATGTCAAGAGCAGTTGCAAATCATTGATCTCACACAGGTACCCTGCATGACTTTAAGTCTGCAATGTGAACTCTGAGATTCCTCCAGTCACAGCCCAGCACACTACTGACCTGCTCGTGATGAGTAGTACAAACTCAGGCACGCTTCCTAGTAGCTCACAACAAGGAGGGTAACCAGCTGGCTGATGGCCATTCCCTCTGTCAACTTCAATGATTTTCATAAAATCAGTAAGAATCTGATAGCCTTGAGATTGACATTGTTTCTTCTATTTTGGCTGATATGGGTCAACAGGCTCAAGTTGGGAAGCAGGAAGAAAAAGAGCACAGAGCACAGCTTTCATATAAGCACTCTAGTCTAAGCAATGCAAGTGAAGGGATATTAAAGAGTTAAAAGTAATATAGAACATAATAGCTTACATAAAGTTAGAGGAAAGAGAAAAATATCACAAAAGGAGGATAAATAAGGACTAGGACTATCGTAAAAGTATAAACTCTTCTTCTTCTGACATTTTAAAAGCATTAAGAATGATGTAGAGTTAAAAGACCAATGAAAAATTGCTGAGAAAGTTGAAAGATAATAAGCTAGTGAAGAATTACATTAAACATAGATCAGTAGGGCCAGGTGATGTAGGAGATGTTCAGAAACTACCACTTGGTTAGACTTCTGATTAAAGGGATCTAACCCAGCAAGTATAGAAAAGCAGGCCAGGGCTAGGCAAAGCATCAGGATAAACACCTCTGGAGCTTACGTGGAGAATTTTTTTTCCTTTTTTTCCTTTTCCTAAAGTGCTTGATAATTTTTAAGAAATCCACTTGGACACATGCAGCTCTATCTTCCAATCTCTGACAGTACCTATGTCTTGTTGTACATTCATAGAATTACAGAACAGTTTAGGCTGGAAGAGACCTTAAGGCCCACCCAGCCCCAACCTGCTGCTTTGGGCAGGGCTGCCTCCCCCCTCCCCCAGCTCAGCTGCCCAGGGCCCATCCAACGTGGCACTGAACACCTCCACGGATGGGGTGCCACAGCTCCTCTGGGCAGCTGTGCCAGTGCCTCACTGTCCTCTGAGTGAAGAATTTCTACCAACAGCTAATACATTACACATACAAGTTTAATAAAGATTTATAAGAAACCTATCTCATACTTCTCCCAAACAACAGGCCTCTTTCCTTTTATTTGCTCTCTTTTGTAAGTGTTTTTTCTGTCAAGATACTGCTAAACAGGCAGAAATGGTGCTACAGAAAGCCAGAACAGAACCCCCAGCAGTCCCCACGGAGTGCACGAGGGCAATTATTTATTGATGCAACAGCACACCACAACGAGCAGGGACAAAGCAAGGTGCTACACCCTGCCTACACTCCTGCTTCTCAGCCACAGAAGCAGCCCCATTCCTGCAGCAGCTTCAGCTCTGGGGCCTACTCAGATCCACTCTGCCTCTCTCCTGCCAGGGCCAACTTCAACCAGCTCAGCTCCTGAACCAACATGCGGCTGCCACACAGAAATCAGTGCTGGCACAAAGGGGCAGCCAGACTACAAGACCCCAAGTCACCAAGCTCAAAGCACCATGAAAGAATGCCTTCAATTTTACACAAGAGATGGGACTCAGAGAATCAAATTAAGCTAGATCTAGAGTAAAACTTCCTTAGGAAAGAAATGCTACTTTCTTTCAAAACACATTAGTTACTTAATTGACAACTGTTTCAATTATGTGAGGAAATTCCCTTCTTCTATATAATTAACTCTATACACGTGAAAAGCCTTCTGAGACTAATTCACCTCTTCCTTCTTTCAACACATCTTGCTAAAGAAAAATGTTGTTTGTCTACATATTTAATTTGAACAGTCACTAACTAAACAAAAGCATTCAGGAGTGCTAGATTTCTTTGGGCGACTTTTCGGTCAAGAACTGGAATGGGCTGCCCAGGGAGGTGCTTGAGCCACCAGCCCTGGAGGTGTTCAAGGAATGTTTAGACATTGCATAAGGGACATGATTTAGTGGGGAAATATTGGTTGTAGGTGGACAGTAGGACTAGATCATCTTGGAGGTCTTTTCCAACCCTGTTGATTCTATGCTACTTCATTCTCTTTTACAGGGCACATCAATTCCACACGCTAGCATTCAATCTTCTCCCACAAGTACAGAAGCAGGGCGTGTGGACAATACGTAGGTATTTACCAGTCAGAAAGCTGGAAAAATGTGGGAAATACATACCAAAAATAATGGAGGGCATCCAAGCAAAGGATATGTGTAAAAAGCATACATTATACCTAGAAAAATAGAAGCTGGCTTATTTCATCCCTGAGCAATACACTGTGTTAGAGCAGAGTTCATGCTGTTTCAAGAGAAGTAAATGCTGTATATATGAGCCATAGGTACACCAAGTTTGATTTTTAAAAGACAGAGAGGCAGTAACTTCTCTTTACAGCAGCTTTGCCAATCTCAAACTGGGGTGTCTGTGTAGTTTTCCTTTCACTTGAATATAAAAGAAATTGCAACAATGGCAAATTATAAGGAACACATAAATGACAGAAACAATAGATTAATGTGATTTAGGGTATGTGTATCAGCTAAAAGATGGTCAGGGAGAAATCTCTTCACACATCAATGCACGGAGCGAATACTGGAGCCTTACGCTGTAGGCTAAAACAGAGCATTTTTACCATAGGTGAGCAGTTGTCACTATTGACTATGAAGATTATATCAGTGTCTGCACTCAAACTATTGAGATTTGGAGCTGAAATTAATTAGAAATTAGTAAGCTTCTACAACATAGTTTATACTCGGGCCCTGCTTCCTGTTTCTTCATGTGATGTGTTCTGGCAGTAAAAACTCTGCCACTGTACATATGTGAAACTTCTAAACTTACAGCCTGCAACAACAACAGAATGTGAAGACAATTCTGTCCATTTAAAATCTTGACTGTGTTGTTGTCATGAGCAACAAAACACTCACAATCTGAGCATCTCAAATTATTTCACTAGTTGCTCCTCCTCCCTGCAAGGACCAGAGCTCACTGAATGGCTTAGCATGCAAGTATTGCTGAGACAAACGTTACTTGAGCATCTGTTATGTAGCCAAGGTGACCAAGCTGCCTGCTGGAGCTTGTCTTGACATCGCAGAAACCACTTCCCACTACGTGCAAACCACCAGGTAAACCTTTTTTAAAATAGCTCCTAAACAAAGCATAAAGCCAACAGCATTGTACCACTTCACTCTGAACATCTGGCCTACTACCTGCATTGGAAACTCCCACTTTCAGGAAAAAGGCAAGCCACATGTTGCTCACGCTGCTCCAGCCAGCTCTCTCTTATCACCGGGTAAAAGCCCAACACCTTGCAGCCCCAGGCTTCAGGAAGCCCAGGTACGAGCACTACACAAGCCTGTGCGCCACCTCACTCAGCACAGCTCCGAGGCAAGCAGGCCAAGGCCACTCTCTCGCTGTTAGTTCACACATCCCACACGTTCACACTCTGCACACCGCCGACCGGCCGGCCAGCTGCAGGCGGCCATCAGGCCACACCGTGACCGCCCATTCTCAGACCTCACGGATGACAAACAGCTCACACGGCACACATCACCGCCACTCAGCAGTACCCCGCCGGCCCTGCTTCGCCCTGCCAGCTGCAGCACCACACGTGCCCCCGCGGGCAGCAGCCGGTACCAGCGGTCAGCCCGCCGCTCCGAGCAGATCAACGCCACGCGTTCTAACACCACCGGCGCCGCCCCGCCACGCACGCCGCAGGCACCGCTTCCCTCGCACACCTTCGAGCTCCCCAGACACGTGCGCTCCCCCACTGCCAGCCCAACGCGCAGCTCTCGCCAGCACCGTGCCGAGGCCCAGCGCTGGGACCGCACAGCGGAGCGCGGCACGCAGCCGAGCTCCCGCGCCCCGCCGCCATCCGCCCGCGCCCCGTCCGCCCACGCGGCCCGGCGCGCACACACACACCTGCGCCCGCCCGGCCTAGCGCCGGCCGCCCCCTCCCCGCTCTGCCCCGAGAGGAGGGGCCCAGACGGGCCGCCCGGCCCCGCCCCGTCCCGCCGCCCCGCGCCGAGCCGCCGCCGTACCCGTCCGCAGGGCGGAGCCCCCCGCGCCGCCGCGCCTAACGCCGCCGGAAGCCCCGCACGGCGAGGGAGGGCGGGGCGTCGCCGCACGGGGCGGGGCTGCAGGCTGCGCGTGCCCGCGGCGAGGCGGGGGCGGGCGCTACGGCCGTGACGGGCGGGGCGCTGGGGAGGGGCGGCGGATGGGCTTCGGGCCGCGCGCTTTGCCCGGCACGGCGTTCGGTGCGGTTGCCGCGTGCACTCAAAGCGGTGGGAGGGGGTTGAGCCACGTCCTGTCTTGCTTATGTCTTTCTTGTTTTCTCTCCTTTGCCTGACGCTTGCCGGCTGGCACGGCTGTCCGGAAGCCCGTCTGCCCTTGTCAGGCCTGTGTCCGTGGTGCTTAGTCCTCAAGATTTGGAAAAAAGCGGCTTGTAACTCCAGCCCCAGTCTGACCAGGCTCTTAACGTGGTGCTGAGGTGCCGGCATGCCATCAGGGAGCCCTGATTTTAGCTGAGCCTAATAGTACTTGCTCCAGCGCATCGCAGTGCCTCTGGGGGCCCTAGCTGGCGCGTTGCAAAATAAGTGTCATCTTTTGCTTCCGTACTCCTTAATTTGATACACATGCCCAAGCACTCGTGCCTTTTGAAGCGCAGGTCCTGCGGTGCTCACAGAGATGACTGTCAGGCCATGCAGTCCTCCCAGCAGGAGATGGGGCTGCAGAAGGCATTGGCAGTCTGTGGTGTGCCGTGCCACTAGGAATCTCTTGGGCAGTCCTTGTGCTGCCTGGCATTTGCCTGTAGCGTAGGAGATCTTTAATCATCTTTAACGTTTTCGGAAAATACCACCAAGCTCATCGATATCTGTTTTTTTGTATGCATGCAGCAGTTTCATGTGCAGGCAATTAGAGCACGTGGAAAACAAAGTTCATTTAATGAGGCAGTCTGCAGCACTAGAAATAAGTTGTGAGGCATAACGCAAAAGAGATCTATTATTTAATCTTTTCCAAGAGGTGACTAAAGGAAAGCTGCAAAACATAAGGAGTACCTTTTCTTTACTTACTGCCAATCCTTAAGCAGTACTACATTAAAATACATGCACATTAATAGAATGAAATAAAGCTGAAATAGATGCAAATATTACCCAAAGTCATGGTAGCATACACGCTGCCCCAGTACACTGCAGTTAGGGCAGGAAATACTGGTGCTGACTTTGACCACATGTTCAAAAGAATTAGAAACATCCAAGCTGACCTTTGAAAAAGTATATCATAGAATCATAGAATCATAGAATCATAGAATCATAGAATCATAGAATGGCCTGGGTTGAAAAGGACCACAATGATCATCCAGTTTCCACCCCCCTGCTATGTGCAGGGTCACCAGCCACCAGCCCAGGCTGCCCAGAGCCACATCCAGCCTGGCCTTGAATGCCTCCAGGGATGGGGCATCCACAACCTTCTTGGGCAACTTGTTCAGTGTGTCACCACCCTCTGTGTGAAAAACTTCCTCCTAATATCTAATCTAAACTTCCCCTGTCACAGTTTAAGACCATTCCCCCTTGTCCTATCACTATCCGCTGTCATAAACAGCTGTTCCATCTCCTGTTTATAAGCTCCCTTCAAGTACTGGAAGACCACAATGAGATCTTCCTGGAACTTTCTCTTCTCCAAGTTAAACAATCCCAGTTTCCACAATCTTAACTCATATGAGAGTTAAGATATATATATGACAAAAGAGTTTGTGGTGAGAAGGAAGAATTTGCTTATTCAGCAAGGAAGCTTTACCTGAGCTTGGGGTAAAGAGTCATAAAACAGCTCCTCCTGAAACAGGGTATCACTTCACTGAGATTTGCCAAAAAAGAGGGAGGCCTGAGTTCATTTTCAGAAAACATTCTGTAAATGAAGCATGGAAAAAACTACCTGACTGTAAAAGTCACCAGTTTCTGCTCCCAGTAGGAAACTGGATATTGTTATCCCTTAGCAAAGCTTTGAATTTTAAGTATTCAGTGAAACCTATAAAAATGATGAGATCATTTTAATCAGTGGATTATTTTTAATACAACAGACTCAGCCAAGTGTTAACCACAAAGCAGCACTGTGTACACAGGGCACTGTTGCTACTGGAGTGAGTTGTTCTCTCTGCTTTCCTCCACATCCCAGGCTATTAACCCACCACAGAAAACAACTCACTGCCTCTTGGGCCAGCATTCCTGCTTTTTGATTTGTGAAATTACATATATTCTTTGAAGTGGAAGAGATAGTATGTGAAGTCAATGAGACACTCAGTACATTTAAATGTTTGTACGTGTTTTCATGAACCAGGGCTAACAATTCCTTGCTTTCTGTGCCAGCCTGAATGATGTGAGAAAAGAATTCCCTTCTATTCCTCTGGCTGTTTTTGCAGAGATTTTCTATTTCCTCTTTTATGTTTGTTCTTTTCCCACATCAAACTGTTTTGTGTAGCGTTCTCAGCTATGCTCTATGAAAGCACCAAATTTTGTAGTTAATCACATTTGCTGCATTTTATCTTCTTTTTTTTTTTCTCCTGTGTTTTTATTAAAAGATAAAGAGAAGGATATGCCACAGTACAAGTATGTGCTTAAACATTATATACAATTAAACCTCTGCAGTACTTCATCTAACAGTCTCTCTGCTGCTTGGCACTGGTTCTCAGCAGATCACATACAATTTAGACTCTGCAGCCACTAGGGCAGGAGCAATATCTTGCTCTGTCTTCTGCAAAGCACCTAGTATGTATTATCAAATTAGACAACAAAACATGTTGCAGCATTTGAGTGCCTAAAGACTGCAGCTAATGCAGGAGCACTCTGCCTGAGATGTAATTAAGCTTTTTTTTTAAAAAAAGCAGAAAGAATCAGAAAAAAATAATTTAACAAAATACAGCATTACCTGTCTTATCATAGTTAAAAATCATACCTTTTTATCTTTCTGCAGAAATATTCCTATGAGCAGTAATCCTGAAGCCTGGAAAGGATGTGTTAACTGAAGATTTCGTAAGGTTTTTAATGAGGATTAGGAAATGTGAGATAATAAAAAGCACTGTATCCAAGGAGGTTGTTGTGCAAGAATCTTCAGACAAGTTTTAAATCAGAATCCTTTGTCAGCAACAGCAGGATCCAGTAAGGATAATATGCTAATTTGAACCAGCAATAGTCTTCATATAGGGATCTGAAGAGACAGAGAGAGATATGGTCTTATTAAGCTTTTGTGTTGACACTGCACAGCTTGTTACTGTACTCAATTGAAATTTAAGAGCGGGAATGTAAAGCTTGTATAACATTTTAGTAAGATATACAGTAACATTGAAACCTGAATAACAATTGAAAGAATAAGTAAGAAATTTCCTTAGCCCTTGGGCTACCACCCCTCCTCTATTCCAGCAGACAAGTAAATGCTGTAGGTGTCTATGTCGTAAAAACTTTCCCAGAGGCAATTCTGGCAAAACACCTACTTTCTTCACACCAGACCCATTGCTTTAACCTTCTGAATGTCAGATTTCTAAAGCTAAGTGCTTCTGCTGCACTACCAGCTGCTTCTAGTCTCTGGGCTTTCCTTGCAGGATGCTAGGAGTGCAGAACAGTATCACAGGAGTCTGTGCTCAAGGAACGGGGATAGTCAATTCTCTCTTCACATTACAACTAGAAAGAGCTGCAAGGTACATTTGAGCAAGGTCTTGTTTTTAATGATGAAAGGAATGTTCTAATAATTAGCAAGACTCTGTTTTTTTGAGTTTATGGTATCAATTGGTTGTAATTGTTGATCGCCTGAAGTTTCCTTTATCACTCCAGTGACTTTTTCTTCTTCGTCCTAAATATTTTCTTATATAAAGGCTGCATGAGCCTGACTGGCAGCAAGGGGCAGATGGCTGGTAGTTCTGAAATAGTTATGTGTAAAGGCCACACTGCTTATTTTATTTTACTTATTTATTTTTTTTAGCACAAAAGCCAAGGGAATATATATACAGGTGCAATGCAGTACTTCAATACCACATTTTTTTTCCAATGGATATATGTCATTTAGCTTCACAAAAATGCATTGTTAGCCTCTCATCAAGCATCACATAACTATTTTCAATCCTTTACAACATGTTCATGTGACCAGATATATTTTTATATGTCAGTTGAGTTCCATGGTGGCAAAACTCTGTGGCTCATCCAAATGCTGTCACATCTCACAATGGCAACGTCAGTCAGAGAAGAGCTCAGCAGAGCCGAATGCTTACAGAAGACAAACAGTAAGTTGACTTCACCCAAGGGTCGGAAATCTAGAGAACTGTGAAAAGTACTGTGAAGTTCCTATCACCGTTCCAGTCAGCTCAATAGGAGCATTGTTATCAGTACCAATGAACCCAGAGTTGCCGGTGCTTTTCAACCAGTGTCTTAAGCTTCCAACATGAAGGATCAGATGTGCAGAAGTTTTCTTTCAGAAATAATGTGTGCATCAACTACATGCAGAAAAGCCACTGCCACCTATATAAATGCACTAACAGTAAAGACATATGCTTATTATCTAGGACATTTATCCACTGCTAAAGATATCACATCAGCATGAGACCAAAGGTGACGTATTTAAAAGCAGTATTAAAAATATTACCCACAAATATTGAAGGAGGTTTTACTTCTTGCTATGTTTTATTAATAAATAAATAAAGTAGAAATACAGAAAACACTTTGCAACACTTATTTTGTGATGGAACAGATCAGACTACGGATTACAATCCAGCATCTTATTTTATTGCCTTGTTCTAAAACAAAATAATTCCTGAAAAACTCTAAAAAGTTGTGGGAAATCTAACAAAATGTAGGCACTTAATGACCTAATGGCCTCTTGATTAACCTAATGAGTTCTTCAGAATGCAAGGACACAAAAGAAGGAACACATCTCAAAGAGATAAGGTCTGTTCATCAGCAGAAGTTCAGTCCTCCCAGAATGAGGGATAAATGGGTTCAGGTGATCCAGCTGAGTTTGTCATTTAAGCATTTTTCCAGAATATCGAGCAAACTAGAAGAATGTGCTGAGAAAGAGAACTTGCACTGCTATTGGCAAGAAGTCTCATGTGTTTTTTCTACTTCTTGTTTCCAGCA